GTGAGGAGGAGCCTCCCAGAGCACATGAAGCCATTCTGTTACTTCTCAGAAATTGACTCTGCTTTTCCTTTACGTGATTTTTGTGGGCCCTCTGAAATCTTACCAGGGCAGGAAACATAGGGGTAGAAAGAATGGATTTGTTAGCACTGGACTCTGAGTCCAAAAATGGCCTCACTTCTCATTCCCTTAAAGTCATCTCTGTTCTGATGCCCAACCACCACCTACCCGGGTGATGAATAATTGCGTCTCTGTTATTTGGGGGCTTACCCCCACCTCTCATTTCCTTCGGGGGGAGGGTCTGGAGAAGAGACACATCAGTGCAGCTCATGAATTTTTGCGTGAACTGACAGCAGAAATGCCCATGCTGAAGCACCTGGTCCATTTGGTTTCATGCCGGGGCCTCACAGGTTCCGTCCGAATCTGAAATCCATGGGGATCAGGGGCCACCTCTGTGCATGAAATGCCAGCCTTCCCCCTGTGAGGTCACCCGCTCCTGCAGGCGCTGCCAAAATCAAGGTGGGAGAAACGACCCCATCTCCCAGAAACCCCCAGGCATCCAGCCTCTCCCCTCCATCTGGGCAATCCTGCCAAGGGCTTCAGGCTTCCAGAGAAACCAGCAAGTGGCGAAGTTGTTCTCCAACTACTTCTGTTTGTGCTTGCCAAAAATCCTCCCTGAGGCCACGAATAAAAGGGACTGGAAGCTTCTTAGAAGAAAGTGGAAACTATGTGGGAAGGGGAGAGAGGAAAGACAAGAGTTTAGGAGGTCAGCCAGGTGTCCTGACACAAAATGGTTTTGTCCTTGAGTTGGATGTCCTCCCAAGGGAAAGGGGTCCTAGGGGAGCTTTCCAGCCCCCCGGCAGCCGGCTGGCACGGTGGCCTGCTTGTGTCCATGCCCCAGTGAGAGGAGAGGGGCCGGGCAGAGCCCCTGGCGGGGCAGAGACCCAGGCCTGGCGAGAGCTCCCGGGAGCACCGCTGGCTGGTCTTCGGGAGATGCTGTTGTGTGTGTGGGACCCGGATGAAAAGCCTGCTGTCTACCAGCTTCACTTGCAATCCCGACGCTGTGAGCCTGGGGGGAGCACCTGCCCTGGGCAGCTGTCCCCACGTCGGCCACCTGCACTTCCTGCGAGGGACACAGCGTAGGTCACGTAGACGGTCTTCTCATGACCTCAGAACCTCCCACCCGTTCGGCTAATCACACATATTTCACATCGTGAGACGCGTTCCCCACATACCGTCAGGATCCCGAGCTGCCCAGGGGACTGTGATTCCGCCTTCTGTCCCCAGGCCCCGATCCCCAGTGACAACCGGAGTTTATCTGTGAGTACATCCCACAGCCAAG